CTGGTGTCCGCCCTTTTCCGCTGGCCATGTAGCATTTCTATTCATTTGTCTTTGAGGTCCGTCACCTGGTGTCCGGCCTTTGCCGCCAGCCATGTAACATTTCTATTCATTTGTCCCCCAGACTCCCAGGTCTGTCTCTGGTAGTGTCCGCCCTTTTCCGCTGCCCATGCAGCATTTCTATTCATTTGCCTCCCAGGTCTGTCACTGGTGGTGTCCGCGCTTTTCCGCTAGCCATGTAGCACTTCTATTCATTTGTCTCCCAGGTCTGTCGCATTTATATTATTCATTTGTCTCCCAGGTCTGTTGCTGCTGGCGCATTTCTATTCATGTGTGTCCCAGGTCTGTCACTGCTTGGTGTCCGCCCTTTTCCGTGGGCGATGCATCTCTCCCTTCTTCTTGTCTCCCTTTGTCTCCGTCTTGTCTTCCTTCCGTTTGCTTTTGTCTCCCTTCTTGTTGGTCATTGCGTCCGCCTTGTCTCCCTGGTCTTGTCTCCATTCTTGTGGGTCACTGTGTCCGCCTTTTCTCCCTGCTGTTTCCTTTTGTCGCCCTTATTCTCTCCCTTCTTCTTCTTGGCATAGTGTCCGTCTTGTCTACCTTTGTCTCCGGTCTTGTCTCCCTTCTTGTTCGTCACTGTGTCTGTCTTGTCTTCCATCCGTTTCCTATTGTCTCCCTTCTTGTTTGTCATTGCGTCCGCCTTGTCTTTTCTTTCTCCCTTCTTGTGGGTCACTGTGTTCGCCTTGTCTCCCTTTTGCTTCCTGTTGTCTCCCTTCTGGTCTTGTCTCCATTGTTGTTGGTCACTGTGTCCGGCTTGTCTCCCTTCTGTTTCCTGTTGTCTCCCTTCTCGTTGGTCATTGTGTCCGCCTCGTCCCTTCCGTCTCCCTTTGTGTCCCTTCTTGTGGGTCACTATGTCCGCCTTGTCTCCCTTCTGTTTCCTTTTGTCCCCCTTCTTGTTTTGTTCTTGTCTCCCTTCTTGTCTCCATTGTTGTTGGTCATTGTGTCCGTCTTGTCACCCTTCTGTTTCCTTTTGCCTCCCCAATCTCCGTCTTGTCTCCCTTCTGTTTCCTTTTGCCTCCCTTCTTGTCTCCCTTCTTGTTGGTCATTGTGTCCGTCTCGTCTCCCTGCTGTTTCCTTTTGTCTCCCTTCTTGTTTCCGTTCTTGTTCGTCATTGAGTCCGTCTTGTCTCCCTTTTGTTTCCTTTTGTCTCCCTTCTTGTCTCCGTTCTTGCTTGTCATTGTGTCCGTCTTGTCTCCCATCTGTTTCCTTTTGTCTTATTGCTTGTCTCCGTTCTTGCTTGTCATTGTGTCCGTCTTGTCTCCCTTCTGTTTCCTTTTGTCTCCCTTCTTGTCTCCCTTCTTGTTGATGTCTCAAAAAGTGACTTGGGAATGCTTCGTTGTTGTTCCACCTGTTTGGGGTCTACGGTGGTGTAACTTTTATTCGTACTAATATGTTTTATGTTGTTCATGTTTATCTAATATTTGTCAATAGACTTTTAATGTTACATGGACAGCCATTGCTTCCAGTTTCAGCTCTGACTTTGTATGTCAAGAATCGCACTCAATATTGCTCATCAAAAGCAAGGCTTCAAAAACAAAAATCAGGGTCGGTCGACACACTTTTGAAGAACGCCAACGCCCGGGTACAGGTTGGCCCATTGCGCCCTGTTTTCTTACTGATTTCGTTTTTTAAGACAACAACCGGGCTGTCCGATTTTCTCTTTAAGCGGGCATTCGCACGGGAAAAGCGCAACAATGATTTTTTCAATGATGTCCAACTAAGAAATTCACACCTTCCTTCCAAGAGGCTACGTCGATCTGAACCCATTGCTTCTCCAAGGTGTTCAGTGCTCCAAGGGCGCTGCACCAGGACTGTCCACGCAGTGCCTTGGCCCACGCCACCGCAGACCACTCGGGAATCTGGCTGCAGAGCATCGAGACTGCGCATCCTGCACAAGGTGCGGGTCGTCGTGGCCGGTTGGTGCATGGTCTCTTGCGGGCCTGTGGGCTACACAAATGGTCAATTAGGGTGGTTTTTAAAGGGTTGATGGCCGTTGGATTGCTTTGATGATTTGTCAAGGGTGATCAAGGGTGTATATATTTAGGTTTTTCAGCGCAAAAAAGTGAACACGGGCGGCCTACAAGGTTTCTACCTTTCTTAGATGAGCACTCCGGCAGGCGCTTGGGGGCTTGCCAAGACTTTGGCACACATTTCTTGCACAAAGAAACCGGTAGACTGTACTCTGCTTTCATGGTGCATCGAATTCTGGTCATTCAGCCATCTTTCCTTTTGGATCCACTGTCGGCTCTCAGTTCGGTGCAGTCCAGAGATTTATTTACATAACCGCCTCTTGAGAGGAGCATACGCGCAAACTAGACCAAATATAAAAAACACAAAATTGAATCGAGCGTTATGGGAATACCTGAGCAACTATATGCCACTGAGAGGAATGTCGAGAGCAAATCAACATGCAGAGCATACCATCTTATGCCACAAAGGCACCCACCACGGGCGCAAACGCGCAGAAATCTCTCCAGCGTTAGGTACTTGGAAGAACAAAGGACGGTAATTCACATCACATTGTGTAGATTGTGCAATGGCTGTAGAGCTTGTGGAGCTTTTGGGAACCAAAATCATACCAGGAGTTCCATGTCGGGGTGGCTATTGGATGGGTGGTGAGAAAGGGTCGAGCAACATCCCCGTGATCTCCTGCCATTCGCCGCGCCCGCAAAGGAGACTCGGTGGACTTGGCAAAGGACTCGGAGAGCGGCAGGTCCCTCCGAGGCCGCGCGAGCAGCTCAAGAGGGCATAAGAACTTCCCAAGTGAGACTCGAGTGTATTGGGTCACCAGGCACTTGGCGATTCTTCTCCAAACATGCTGTGGGCGTGGTTTCATGGGCCCTGGCTGGCATCGGCGGCAGATTTTATGACGACCCTTGCAGCACGCAAGTTCTTTAAAGTATATTTTGATTGCGCAGGCCCGCGGCTTGCCCAAACTAGTCGGCCTTAGTGGGCGCTTTCCTCGACTGCGCTCTTTGCCCTTTTTGAACTTCGTGCGCCCCACCTGCACGCTCTCACACGCGCGCTCTCATATCTGTGCTCTCTCATACTTGCGCTCTCATACTCTTGTGACTCTGCCGTATCATATGTGATCTCACATGTTTGCTCTCATGTAGAGATGCGTGTACTCCCTCACATCTGCGCCCTGCTTGTGCGCACTCTGGTGCGCCCGCGCTGTGTTTTTGTTTTGATGAGCGCAGTTTGGGGGCTCTTGCCAAGAAAATTTCAGTTGGAACATTAGCGGATCAGGAACAGATGCACATGGCTGTTTCAGGCCATATTTCAACGATGTTGCAGAACCGAGCACAAGCTGAGACCAAACTACAAGCTGCGTACACTACCAAACCGACACCGAACCGAAGCATCTACGCAGCAACTGTGCCGCAACCGACTCAACCCCAAGAGTAAAGGTTTACGCAAAGAAGCCCGCTCGGTGATCAAAGGCTACCTTCTGGGTCTTTGCTCAACCCCCTTGGGTATGACAAGCCCCAGCACAGTTCAACTTCTGTGTTTACAAATATTTTTGTGGTCGGCGAGGGCTTAAGGCGACGACGCGGGGCGATCGAGCCAGGGCGGTGGACGGTTGGGATAAAGGGTGATAAAGGGCCAGCTGGGCAACCGTTTGGCCAACGGGCGGGGGAGGTGGACAAACTCTGGCGCCCAACGAACAGACCCGACCACCCCAAAGCTCAAAGAAACAGCATGTAAGGAGAAAACTTTCGCGGGGGCAGGAAAGTTTTTTTTCTGTTTTGGGACGGCACGGCCTTTGTTTTGGCAGGCCAAAACAAACTCGAAAGCGTGTTCAAAACCATCGGCACATCCACCCCGAAGCCGCTCAATTCGCATTGCTCAGACCTCTTGGCTTTTGAGTGTGTTTTGCGCCATCTGTTGGAATGATCCCCATATTCTTGTTAGAGCTGCGCCAATTCACTCCGGTGTAACACTTTTAGGAAAATACTGTCGCGAGTCGCACCGCGGGAAGGTTTGTTCTCATCGCTCCAGATGTTCATCCGAACGCCTCAGACAGCCTGGTTTTTGCGTTCGACGCCTGCAACCGAAAACTCTTTCAATAGATCACGCGCAACCTAACCGAACCGAATCGAACCGATCCCGCAACACATCAGCCATACCGAACCTAAACACCCATGATGCAATGCTGTTTTCATCGTCACTTCGGGGCCATTTGCTGCTGGACTCCGCCAATTATAAATGTCACGCAAGCACCCAGGCCTCCGCTTCTGGATGTAACCCGCAGAACGACAAAGACACATCCGGTGTCAACCCTCCAGCGCGGAGTGTCAGTGCGTCGGCCGCCTTACAGCTCACCACGGATACATCACCCACGGAGTTTTGAAGGACATTGGTCCAACTGAATCTGCTCAACACGGATACATCATCCAGCGGAGTTTTGCAAGAGATTGGTCCAACTGAATCTAGGATGTAACATGATGTAACTTGCCCACCCTCCTTTCCTCCCAAAGTTCAGCCGCCGTCCAACTTACTTCAGCTTCGATTTGCATGTGCGGCGCCTGGTCGCCGGTGCCTTGTACCCAACCAGCAGGGTGCACCATGGCGAAGCATTGAGCCGCAAGGCAGAGCAGATTAGAGGAACTGAATAGTAAACTTGTCTTGCGCAGGTAGATTGGTGGGTATGTTCGAAATCGTGAGCTGTAAATTGTATGTCGGAAGTGCGCACTTGTAGGTTTGCAACAAGCATGCCTGAAGGGGTGATACCAATGTTCAACAGGGTTGTTTGCAAAGTGGCTGAAAGAGAGTCATCCTTGAGCAAGTACAGAATATAGCTAACGCTAACTTTGCTGTAAGCCTTTACTCTGTGAACTTGTGGCCGATTGAAAAGAAAGTATTTTGCACCGCGCACCTCCATGCTGGCTTGCTATAATCATCACAGGCTGGGTTTTTGCTGACTCCACGTGACTGTGACTGGTGGACTTTGTCATAAAGCAGCCTTGAATGCATAAAAAGTTGTTCTCGCTGCAACTACCGGATTTCACTATGTGAGCTGACGCACGTCCCACACTACGCCACGCCCTGAAGCTCAGTCTCATCCTGGCTAGTGTAAACATTTTGCCATTCGTCGGTGCCTTGAACCTACGACCTTTGTTCACGTCACAACCTTTTCTGAAATGACCATATCCAACCTGAAGTCCTTCAGCCCGTTTCCTCTGCAAATCTCAACCTTGTACTCAACTGGAAACCAGTTCGGAAAGCGGAACAGCAGCACCACATCCCCAACAGAGCCCACAACGTGTCTGGTGAACAATGGGTGAAAATTGCCAATATGATAAAGCAGATGCCCCAGGATAGCCGCAGACTGGCAGCAAAAAACACCATGGCCTCAAAAAAAGTAACCTTATACTGTTATACTCGTCGGACCTAAGTCTGTCAGAAAAAGTAACGTAACAGCAGAAAAACATTCAACATAGATCCCACAGCCCCGATCACCTCCAACATACCCCCAGGAGAAGCCTCAAGAAAGACCTAACATTTGGCGAAGCGTGCCAACATGGAGAAGGATATGCCCTAAGAATGCACCAAGATCCCCGAAGATTGGCGCACACCTGCCCCAAATTTGACCGCCCATTGGAGCAAGCTTTCGCAAGCAACAAAGCCGACAAAAAACTGTCAAAACCACCTTTCTTACACAGGCCTGATCTAGACCCCGCACTTCCAACATACCTCCCCGAGAAGCCTCAAGAGAGCCCCGTGATTTACGTGCCAACATGGAAGAGGACATGCCCTAAGAATGCACCAAGATCGCCGAAGATTGGCACAAACATGCCATTTGACCGCGCATTAGAGCAAGCTTTCGCAAGCAACAAAAACAAAAAACCACAATAAACTGACAAAACCACCTTTCTTACACTTGTCGGACCTCATGTGTTCAATGTTTTTACGGCGTTTTACGCACACTACACAAAAGACCACCTGCTCAAGTCAAACGGCAGATAACAAAGCTGCCAAGTGGACCAACATGGCCGCAAAACAAATAACATAAGAGCAGCAAAGCCTTCAACATAGCCGGGATCTAGAGCCCCAACATCGGGTGAAACGTGCCAATATGGAAAAGGACATGCCCTAAGAATGCACCAAGATCGCCGAAGATTGACGCAAGCATACCCCAAATTTGACCACCCATTAGAGCAAGCTTTCATACGCAAACAAATGACAAAAAGAAGCTCACAAAAACACCTTCCTTACACTTGTCGGACCTCATATTTCATTGTTTTTACCAGTGTTTTATGCACATTGCCCTTCAAAGCCTTTGAATGCCGGAAAACAAGAAACACCTCAAACATTGTCTCCCGTGCAGGTAAAATGCAACTTTTTGAAGGCAAGTAAGCTCAACACAAACCCGCCCAAAGCCACTCTTTACTGAAAATTACCATGTTTTATGCACCTTCGAATATGCCCAAAAAACCCACGGTCTGCAAACCAGTCCGGCAAGCAACGGAAAGCGAGAGGCGAGCGGGCGCGGTCGCGACGTGCAGGTTTTGTTCGATGCCGGACCGCGGTCTTTGCCAAGTGACGATGCGTGCAGTGACTCATCGAGCGACACACGTGGGTAGAGTATAAACAAAGAGAGAGATATATGTAAGCCAGGAGACCTGGTCAATGGAGACCGGCGGGCTGCAACCCTGAAAGGCGCCACCTCCAACCCTGAAAGGCACCACCCTGAGAGCCACCAACAACACGGAACCCCGAGAGGCACCATTCCGAAGGTGAGTCACGAAATGGCCAAGTTCACTAATGGTCGCTTTGTTTCCCTCTCTTCTGTGCTCTTTGTGCGTCAGGTGCTTTCCATCCTTTTTGTTACTCTTGGTTCTTTGTCTTTGCGAGCCTTGTTGCTAAAAACCTGGCTTTAAGCCTCAATGTGATTTTAGACTGTTGGTTCTTTGTCTTTGTGAGCCTTGTTGCGATCAAACCTGGCTCTAGGCCCCAATGTGATTTTCGTGTTGTTGGCTTCGTATTTTTGGGTTTCCTGGTTGGTTTTCCTATGTGCTTTCCATGTCTTTTAAGTTGGCTTGCCTTGTTTTCGCCTCTTCTCAAGTAGGTTAGCCTTGATCCAGTGCGTTGTCTGCCCAAAAGCGTGGTTTCATACTTTTGGGGTTGCCGTGTCAATTTTCCCAGGTGCTTTCCATTCTTTTCAAAAGGGTTTTCCTTGCTTGTGTCCATTCTGTGCTCTTTGTGTCTTCTCGTGGGCCTTGGTGTCAAAAAATTCTCATCTTAAGTTGATTTGCTTTGTTTCCGTCTCTTCTGTGCTCTTTGTGCCTTAGGTGCTTTCCATCTTTCTTAAATGGGTTACCCTTGGCTCTTTGTCTTTGTGAGCCTTGTTGCGATCAAAACTGGCTCTAGGCCCCAATGTGATTTTCGTGTTGTTGGCTTCGTATTTTTGGGTTTCCTGGTTGGTTTTCCTATGTGCTTTCCATGTCTTTTAAGTTGGCTTGCCTTGTTTTCGCCTCTTCTCAAGTAGGTTAGCCTTGATCCAGTGCGTTGTCTGCCCAAAGCGTGGTTTCATACTTTTGGGGTTGCCGTGTCAATTTTTCCAGGTGCTTTCCATTCTTTTCAAAAGGGTTTTCCTTGCTTGTGTCCATTCTGTGCTCTTTGTGTCTTCTTGTGGGCCTTGGTGTCAAAAAATTCTCATCTTAAGTTGATTTGCTTTGTTTCCGTCTCTTCTGTGCTCTTTGTGCCTCCCATGCACCTCTTAGTGATGCAAGTGGTGCTGTGGAATGCCCCGACTTTTTTAGCATTTCGTCTATCATTTTTGTCTCCGATGCCCTTGTGAAAATGCTGACGTGTTTTGTCAAAAAACATTGCATTAATGATGCAAAAACTCTTTTTTTGCTGTATTTTCAGTGTTTCGTTAACTTCAACATACTGCCTCAAGCCACCAAAAAGTCTGCAAATCACGATCGCGAGATTTTCACCCCCCTAACCCCCCCGGCAAAACCTACCGGGGAGCAACTCAAAGCGATGTTCATCGCTTTCCGTCATCAGCTTGGCCCCCCCACCCCTCCCCCCCTCCCTTTCGGTAATACTTCCAAGCGCTACATCGCTTTCCGTCACAGCAATCTTCCAAAAGCCGGATGGAAGCCCAAAGTGTTCACGTTGCAGGGTCAAATTCAAAAGATTGCTTGTCCCTGGTTTGCACGAGGAGGGTTTTTGGAGCTAGGATTTCATTCAGTGCCACAGGCATAGTTTTCTCGGACCAACCTACCTGTCAAATCCATGCCCGTTCGTTGACCATATTTCTTCAGGTGATGGGCAGAACAGGACATGTAAGAAGCAGCGCCCGCCAAAAGGGTCAAGTGTGAATTTTCGACTCTTTTCGCCCCTGCCAACGCTCTGCTGCTGCAGTTGCCGGGTTCTAGGAATCGCGTGAATGCGGGCCTCACCATTGCCAGAACTCCTGGCAAACGTGGCATTACGAAGGAAAGGGATCGCTCTTCTAACGCCCAGAAATGGGGCAAGGAGTGCATTGGTGAATTCAAGTGAACCGTAAATCTCCATGTGCCGTTGAAATCCTACAAAGGCCTCTCGCGGGCTGCTGGGCTGCCCAGCCCCGGGCAATCTACATTCGGAGGTATCTGGGAAAAACTAAAACCGAAGGGGCTTCTTCAACCTGACTTAAATGATGACGGCGGTTTGGAAACCACAGGTGGTGCAGAATGTCTTCCATCAACAGTAGTTGTACACACAAAATATAGTAATATCATAGATCTTGGCTGCGCCATCGTGAACCGCCTGGCAGGTTTTCTCGCATTGTTGGTGGAAGAAAACCCGAAAGATGTAAATCTGCATGAGATGAGCCACCATGGCCTGATGAGGTAGACTCCGCATCCAGGATGGCTATAAAAGTCAGTGGACCGATCAAAATCTGTTTGGAGCAGGCGGCCCCATTGGATTCAAGATCGGGACTCGCCGCAGCCCAAAAACAGCATTTCTCAAGAATAATCCTCTCTGCCTGAGATTTTGTGTCCCAAGAGATACTCTACAACTTGAACCCACCGAAATTCAGAACCTTCAGCCATTTTCCACCTGACCAACCTCCATGGTGAACGGTGGAAGCCCATGGAGGCCCTCCACCGCTGACGTTCGTCCTCAACCTTTGCCGAGGCACCTTGATGGCCTGCTCGCCGAGGGATTGCCACATCCTTGGCCGCGGCATGGCCGGAACGTGGTGCGGCGTGGATCAAGCGGAGGGACCGGTCATCACCATTTTGGCATGGTGAGTGAAGGCACCATACACAAA